ACTCTCACAGGCTCGTGGATCACCACCATGAGGCTTCATGATGATGTAGTTTCAGGATGTGTGTTCGGATGTGGAGGCCCTGATTCGTATATCCACTATTGGGCCCACTGTCCGAAGTGCTTAGAGTATTTGCATATCGTTTCCATCCATCCTCTTCCCGTGTGTCCTGTCGAGCGCTACGGTGCGTGTGCCTCGCCCCCCTCCCTGTCCACCCTCGAACCCTGTGCTGCTGCCATTCTCGTTTACAACTCAGCTGTCGCGGCGACGACCTCAGGCCAAACTTTATCCGCCGAGGAGTGTCTCGTGCTGCCCCCACGGGTCCGTTCGGCCCTCGCGAGGATGCGGCTTGCAGGTAGCTGAGCTCGAACATCGAGGGCCCGTGCTTCCCTCGGCGACGTCCCAGGAGGAGGAGGAGGAGGAGGAGGAGGAGAAGGAGGAGGAGGAGGAGGAAGAGGACGAGGAGGAGGAGGGCCTCCACAGGCCTCGGGGCTTTCGAAAAACTGCTTGTCCTCTGGTCGTGATCTTCCTCTTCCTCCTCCTCCTCCTCCTCCTCCCCCTCCTCCTCCTCGTCCTCCTCGTCCTCCTCGTCCTCCTCGTCCTCTCGGCGTAATCTTCCTGCTCCTCCTGCTCCGACTCCTCCCTGGGATGGAGCACGCGGCCCTGGAGACCGCCCGGGGGCCCAGGACCCGGTGCCCTCAGAACCCGCCTCCTCCATGACAGGGATGTCCAGGCCGCCAGACTGGGGTCGCAGTGGACGGGGTCGGAGGATCGCGTTCGGTATCGTTTTACCAATCCCCATCCCCATCCCCACCCCCTTCGAGACCCCCGCCAAATCACCACCCCGGTTGGGGATGCACCCCTCGAAACCCGAAGGGAACGAGGGGGGCAGATCGGCCAGTGGGCCCCAGGCCAGGCCGCTGGGCATGGGGATCGGTGAAACAACACTCACGCGTCGCATCGCCGATGCATCTCGGTCGGGGGTTCGCAGAGGGGTGGGTTCTCCCAAGGTGGGGCCAGGGAACGAGCCCCGCCATATTTAAATCGGGCAGGTGCCTCTACAGGAGGATATTCAAAAATAGTCAAAACATACTCTCGGGAGGTTTTTTGGGGTATTTTGGTTTGCCATGTTGGGGTATCTGTTGACTATCTTTAATTCTTCGTCCAAAATCCCCCTGTTGGAGGGCATGCCCGACGCAAAGCTAACCTGCTCAGTCTTCCAGGAGCCCGTTCACGAGGATGTTCCTCCCGGCCCCGTCTCTCTGCCCCTGCCCTGGTTTCCCTCGGGGCCCGCTTCAGGCCCGCTTCTGCCATGACAAAGGAAGTCCGTTGGCATCGCTCGGAGGTGTGCATTTCTCTTCGGCGAGGGCCACAGAGGAGCCTCCTGGGTCATCCTTCGAAAAATCAACGGCACAGTCCATCGAAAAGTGCTCTGGGAATGGACGCCCGAACGGGTGCATTTTCCTCGGCGCGGACCATCGCGGAGGAACATCTCATCCCGCGAGAAATGTACAAGCGTACGAAGCCGAAACATGCACGGGGAATCGACGTCCGAGCGATGGCGAGAGTCCAGGCCGCCAGATTGGTCGCAGAGGACGGGGTCGGAGGACCGCGTCGCATCGCCGATGCATCTCGGGGGGGGAGAGAAGCATACCGATGCCGGCTTCCTCTCGTCGCCACAGTTGGATCCGCCTCGAGGTCCTGGTCAGAACTTAGTCAGAACCCATTTCCCGGGAGGCGTCCGCAGAGCAGCGGTGCCAGTACCTGTCTGTTGCCCCAGCATCGCCAACGCCGCGAGATCCAGAGCCTGGCCTTCTCTGTCCCGGCATCGCTGGCGCATCGCCGATGCAGCGACAGAGCGGAGCGGCGGGGGAAGGGGGGAGGGGGGGCGCAGGCCAGGCTCGTGCCGTGTCGGCGCGGCGGCGATCCCGGCGTGGGCGCTCCAGGTTGAGCGCCGCTGGTGGCCCAGAATCGGCCACTACGGAACGATCTGGCGATCCACTCGCCGCCGATCGTTCGAGGCTGCACGACCCAGCGCCGAAGTCGTCACGGCACGAACCTGTCGTGCCGTGCGCAAGCTGGGTGCACGGCCGCCTCCGACGTCCTGAGGCGCCAACGCTCTCTCTTTCTCTCTCTCTGCCAGCCCTCTCTTTGCCGGTCCACCCCCAAGAGGAGCACGGTGGTGATCCGCATAGAGGTTCGGGGGGCGCCGCCGTCGTCTTGTCGTTGCCCGGCGTCCTCCTCTGGAGGTATTGAGTGTCGTGTGGGCTTCGATTTTCGAGGTTTTCGGACGTTTCCGTCGGCTCTCGGCGATTTTGCAGCCCCAGGGTGCTTCCCAGCGGCTGTGCCTCGCCGAGGGCGTTCTGGGGGTGCCCAGATCGTCCTGAGCGGCCGCGGGAGGCCCGAGCTGGGACCCCCAAAACCAGACGACGACAGGGCCAGGACTGGGTCGCTCGCGGGGGCGCGAAGGTGATGGCGCTGCGCGCGTCGCGGTCCGGGCCAGGGTGGCTGCCCTTCGCCAAGGGGGCGTCGCGAGGGCGCGGAGTCAGAGTCGCACATCGCGCATCGCGGGGCGCGATGCGCGAAATTCGATGACCCAGAAGAGGGAGGCTGGAAGAGGAGGAGGAGGAGGAGGAGGAGGAGGATGAGGAGGAGGAGGAGGAGGAGGAGTGCAAACACAAGCTCACTCCAGCTGGATGTTGGAAGAAACCCTCCCTCCAAGCTCACTCTTCAGAGGCCCCTTACAACGGTTAATGTCCACTGGGGGAGTTGCCTCGTTGGAAGACAGCCGTTTGAAGACCCTGACGCATGCCGAAACATTGGATCAACCTGACTGTTGCGTCTTGACGATCTTGAATCGTGCCAGAGAGCCATTTCTGGGACTTCAACACCGTGAATCAACGTAACTGTTGCGCATCATAATCCTGAATCCTTCCAAAACACCATTTCTGGTTCGCTGACCATGGGAATCCGTGAAAGTCTTGCAAATGTTATGAGCGAATGTGTGCGGCATTAAGGCGAGAGCCACATGTTGAAAAGGAACCGCCCTCAATCCGTGAAACTCTTGCCATTTGTTAAAAACGAATGTGCGCGTCACTAAGGCGAGAGCCACATTTTCAAGACCATCCGCCCTCAATCCGTTAAATTCTTACCATAGCTTAAAACGAATGTGCGCGGCGCTAGGGCGAGAGCCACATTTTGAAAGCCATCCGCCTTCAATCCGTGAAGCTCTTGCAAATGTTTAAAACGAGCGTGCGCAGCGCTGAGGCGAGAGCCACATTTTGAAAGCCGCCCGCCCTCCATCCGAAACTGTTGCCAATTGCTTAAGCTTCAGAGTCGTGGAGGAAGTCTCAGGCGAAACGCCCGGCCGCCCTAAAATTTGGCCTCGGGGTGCGACAGGGAGATGTTATGTATAAGAAAAAGGAATGACGGAGGAGGAGGAGGAGGGGGAGGAGGAGGAAGAGGAGGAGGAGGAGGAGGAAGAGGAGGAGGAGGAGGAGGAAGAGGAGGAGGGAGTAGGAGGAGGAGGAGGAGGGGGAGGAGAGGAGGAGGCGGAGGCGGAGGAGGAGAAGGAGGAGGAGAAGGAGGAGGAGAAGGAGGAGGAGAAGGAGGAGAAGAGGAGGGAAGAGAAGAAGGAGAGGTACGGAGGACGGAGGAGAGTAGGAGGAGGTAGGAGGGAGGAGGAGGATGCAGGAGGTGAAAGAGGATTGCAGGAGGTCGGAGGCGCAGGGGCAGGGAGAGAGGAGGAGGAGGGAGGAGGGAGGGAGGAGGGAGGACGAGGAGGCCGGAGGAGGAGGATGGGGAAAAGGGGGAGGAGGAGGAGGAGGAGGAGGAGGAGGAGGAGGAGGAGGGGAGGGGGAGTAGGAGGAGGAGGAGGAGGAGGAGTAAGAGGAGGAGGAGGAGGAGGAGGAGGAGGCGGGGCGGGGCTGAGGAGGAGGCAGGAGGAGGAGGAGGAGGAGGAGAGAAGAAGGAGGAGGAGGAGGAGGAGGAGGAGGGAGGAGTAGTAGGAGGAGGAGGAGGATGAGGAGGGAGGAGGAGGGAGGAGGGAGGAGGTAAGGAGGAGGAGGAGGAGGAGGAGGGGAAAGGAGGAGGATGGAGGAGGAGGAGGAGGAGGAGGAGGCGGAGGAGGAGGAGGAGGCGGAGGAGGAGGCGAGGAGGAGGAGGAGGAGGAGGAGGACGGGAGGAGGAGGAGGAGGAGGGAGGAGGAGGAGGAGGAGGAGGAGGAGGAGGAGGAGGAGGAGGATGAGAGGAGGAGGAGGAGGAGGAGGAGGAGGAGGAGGGAGGAGGAGGAGGAGGCGGAGGAGGGAGGAAGGAGGAGGAGGAAGGAGGGAGAGGAGGAGGAGGAGGAGAGAGGAGGAGGAGGAGGAGGAGGAGGGATGGAGGAGGAGGAGGAGGAGGAGGAGGAGGAGGAGGAGGAGGTAGGAGGAGGAGGAGGGGGGAGGAGGAGGAGGAAGGAGGAGGAGGAGGAGGAGGAGGAGGAGGAGCCCCGAGGAGAGGTGAGCAGGAGGAGGAGGAGGAGGAGGAGGAGGAGGTGGAGGCGACTTAGTTATCGCGCCTCGAGAGCCCTCCCTGCAGGGCCTCGCGCGACCACATTGGGGACCTCCACGAGACCTCCAGAGGCCTCCACCGGGGACTTCGGAGACCTTCTGCCCATAAAAAAGCATGCCATCGAAGGAGATCCCCAGACGTCCAGCGTCTCGAAAGAGTCGAGACGGAGGTTTTCGCAGTTTTGGGCTTCTCGGGGCCCTTACAGGGCCTCGGGGCAGTCAAACAACGACCCGGGGTGAACAACCCTTCCTGGGGAAGGGATCGAGAGGTCGGGGGCCCGTGTCTCGAAAACAGCGAGAGAGACGCTGGATGTCTGGGATGTGGTTTCCTCCCCGGAGCCCTCCCGAGTCCCCAGGGCCGTCAGAGAGCGATCCAGATGGACAGCTGGTCGTGCCGAGAGCCCTTGGGCTCGGGACCCGCTCCCCTCGGGGTCCCCATGCCTCCCCCCTGCCAAGAGAGGCCTTGAAGGTGCTGACGCCGCAGCAGATCGGCGCCGCGGGGCCCTGGCTCCTGCGCCGGGTGTCTCCAGACGACGCGGTCGCCGTCCCCTGCGGGTCGGACGGTGCCGACGACACTGGCGAGGACGTTGCCCTCATCAGGCTGCCAGACCTGGGGGCGATCGAGCCGGGCGATGCCCCCAGCTGGCACAGGAGCAGGCCGAACACCTTGGAGCCGCCGGCGCCGTAGAGGCGGCCGCGAGCATCGCTGCGAGAGGGCCGCGTTTTTCCCCTCCAGCAGCGGCCCCGCTGACTCGAGTCTCACACGCCCAGAGGCGAGGAGGGCCCGTGTCACGATCCTGTCTTCTGTCGCCCCTGGGCCCCTCCCGTCGACAAGCAAGAAGCAAGCAGCGGCATAAGCATAGGCTTTTGGGGGTCGGCGCAGGTTTCTTGGGTCGGTGCTGGGCCCTTCTTCCTCCCTCGGCTGCTGACTCCCTTGCCCGATGGGGTTCGAGCTGCTCGAGCCTGACTGTCAGTCCTGCCTTGCCTCGCCTTCTTCCGTGGCGGAGCCAGTGTGCGGATGCATAGGCGCGGGTGCAGGCCTGCGCAGGCGCTCGGAGGCCCCGAGCAGTGACAGCTCTGCTTCTCTTTCAGCGCTCCGCTCAGCCCGCCGGCCCATTCCGCATCACTGTTGGTTTTGGTGGTGCTGTAAGGTTGTTCAAGAGAGCTGCAGCAGAAGTTCGAGACGCGCCCAGATTGTTAAACTGGCTTGCGGAGAGTCTCCAGGAAGCCCGACGGAGTGCAGGACTGTCCTAGCAGAAAAGTCTCAGACCCGCCTGGGGGTGTCTTGGTGTGATCTTGGTGGCCTCGGTCGGCAGCCCGAAAATAGTGTACCGCCAAAGTCGCCCGACAACCCTAGCGAAATCAATGATTTTAGCGTCTCCAGGGCGTCTCGAAGCCCTCTTGGAAGCCTCCTGGGGCGTCTTGTGCGCTTCTCGGGCCGTCTTGGGACCAACTTGGCCCATCTTGAGGGTTTCCTGGGCGCCTGCTGGCGGCTGTGGGGGCCAACTTTCGGGGAAGGCTCGATCTGTCAGGTCGAGTTCCCCCTCTTGGGGCGCTCGCGGGAGCTTCGGGCGCCCTCTGGGGAGACCTCTTTAGCCGTCTCGTGATATTTTTGGGCCGTCTCCGGCCCTTTTTGGGAGTCTATTAGGCTGGGGCCTCTGAGATGCCTCATGGGGGCGTCTTGGGGGGCCTTTGGGGGGCTCCTTGGGCCATCTTGGTGCGCTCTTGGGCAGTCTGGCGCCATCTTGAGGGACTCCTGGACCGTCTTCGAGCCCTCTTGGGGGGCCTCGTAGGCCGTACAGCCAAGATGCTGAAATAAGGAGCAGATTCGGGTTCGGAAGGGGCTCGATGTTCCTTAGGTCCTTCCATGGCTGCTCCTCTAGCCCTCCTCGTGCACGCAGTCGATTTTGAGACCGAACAAGGACTTCATTCTTTATCTATCGTGCTTTCCTTCAGCAGCCCGACGGTATTGGAGGCCCCTTGGACCGTCTTGGGCTGACCCGTCTTGGGCTAACGGAGGCCCGATAAGCTAAGAACGCGACCTTCATTTCTTTCACCTGAGGATGCTCAATGACTTTGGTAGATTCGGGCCCTCGTGGGGCCTGGGTTGAGGCCGTCTTGGGGCCATTGCGGGGAGCTCTGCAGGCATGCTGTGCCATCGTGGCGGCCTTGGTGGCCCTCCCTGGTCGTCCTGGGAGGGCCGCGCGGCTCTGGAGAGCATCCGAGAGGCGTCGGGAGTGCCCAGGGCCTCTCGGGAAGGGGATTGGGGGCGGGGGCACGCGCAACTCCGCGACCGAGAGCGGAGGGGTCCCGCCAGCCCCTCGCTCCCTCGCTCCCTCCTCCTCCTCCTCCTCCTCCTCCTCCTCCTCCTCCTCCTCCTCCTCCTCCTCCTCCTCCTCCTCCTCCTCGTCCTCCTCGTCCTCGACCTCCTCGTCCTCCTCCTCGTCCTCCTCCTCCTCCTCCTCCTCCTCCTCCTCCTCCTCCCGCCCTCCTCGCTCTCTCCTCCCTCCCCCTCCTCGAGCACGCCTCGCCCTCTCCTCCAGCAGTCCTGCCAGGCAGCACTTGGCGCTCAGCCGCGCCTGGGCGTACCAGCGGGCACGGTGGCGGACAGAACGTGCAGATGGCATCGAAAGCTCGCGAGCCACATATGCTTGTGCTTACGTGGCATAGGTGTACATGCATGTATATTCACATACACACATACACATACACATACACATGCACACACATACACACATATTTATACGCATACATACATCGATGCAGGTCTATAGACACAGAAAAGATAGGTGTATTTATGTATATATATATAAAGACATGCGTGCCAATGTGTATAGGATCGAATGCTGACTGCTGGCCTCGGTCCGTTCTCCCTGCCATTGGCCCTTCACCATATCTATCGTCCCTGCCCTTTTATATTTTTATGCTACAGATTTCAAGCGCGTATTTTTCCATGCCCGCGCGTCTGTGATGGACGCCCAGCTTCAATGCGTGCCGAGCGACATCTGTGCTCAAATCGACAAGGAAAACGATGAGGGTGGAGAGCGGCAGCATCAGCGTCAGCGACAGCATCAGCAGAACTGTTACCATCAGCAGCACGGTACCATCTTTGTCCTCGGGTTCTTCGAGCCCTCACCTCCTCCTTGGGATGAGTTCCACTACTTCTTCTGGTCCGCCTCTGGACTGAAGAAGACGAAGGATTACGGAGTGCGAGATGGGGCTAACCATGACAAGTCAGGCAGGCGACGGCGACGACACCATGACGACGGCTACAACTACAGCGATGACGACGGCGTCGAGAATCATCAATAATTTGGTCCATATAGCAGAGGGAGAGAGAGGGAGAGAGAGAGAGAGAGGGAGAGAGAGAGAGGGAGAGAGAGAGAGCGAGAGAGAAAGAGAGAGAGAGACCAATATCGATACTGCGGATCGAATGGACAACGAACGCCCGATAGAGAGAGAGAGAAGGGATGAATGAGGGGGAAGCGAGGATGGACGTAACAGGTAGATTGTATTACGTGGTAAGGCGAGTAGAAAGGGACATCGGGAGCGAGGGTAAGAGACGGATGCAGAGGGAGCTGCTGATGATGTGTACACGCTGCGCCTGGTCGTGAGGAGACAGAGCATCGTTGCCGTTGTCCCTCTTCGTTATCCACGAGTTGGCGTCCATCGGCTCACCTCTCCACTGACGCCAGCTCCCCCGCTCGAAAACCCAGGGCCCCGGGCCCCGGAAACCTCCCAGAAGAAACCCAAGCTTCCCGCCCCCCCTTCAGGGATCCGGGGGAGAAAACTTTCGAAAAGCCCACCAACTCGGGGGGTTTTCGGGGGGGTCCCGGAGAGGGTCCAGGGAACTCCCACGCCGGTCTCCGTTGTCCCTCTTCGTTATCCACGAGTTGGCGTCCCTCGCCTCGCCTCCACCGCTGGCGCCAGCTCCCCCGCTCGACCACGGGCCGGTCGAGGGGCACCCCCCACCGGCCACCCAGCGTGTTGTCGCAGACCTCGTCACGAAGGGTGGTGCAATTTGACCCTTGCAGATACGTCTATACATCTGTACGCACATCCAGCTGCTTGCGCCCCCACCCCGCCACCGTGCCCGCGCAGTCGGGGGGGTGGACAGAAGCCCCACCCTGACACGTCGATTAGTGAATTGTCCGTTTTCGGTTCTCGAGAGGGCGCCGCGGCCGTCCTTTTCCAGGCTTGCGCCCGCCAGGTTTGAGCCCGAGGTCGTTATCACTGAACCACGTCTTACTAAAGGGGGTTATGTCCATCCCCAATGGTGAAGTTTGACCCTTGCAGATACACGCACATCCAGCTGCTTGCGCCCCCAGCGCAGCTGCCAAGCAGGGAGTTGGCTGAGTTTACGAGCGTGTCCAGTTCAACGCCTCGTCTGCACAGGCGCGGGTCTTAACACCCTCTCGTGTTCCTCAACCTCGCTCTCTTCCTCCTCCTCCTCCTCCTCCTCCTCCTCCTCCTCCTCCTCCTCCTCCTCCTCCTCCTCCTCCCCCTTCCTCATTCCTTCTCCTCATCATCTTCCTCCTCCCCCTTCCCCCATCCCTCATTCCGCTGTCTTGGCGGCATATAGGAGACTTCTTGCGGCTGCTTCGTGGCCTCTCGGGCGCCTTCCTCGGCCCTTTTTTGGCCGTCTTGGAGTCCTCATTTCGGGGGCCTGCTGATGGGGGCATGTACGGGGCTCCCCGAGGGTCTCAGGGCCGTCTTCGACGCGATGATTCTGAGCATATTGGGAACGTCTCGGCGGGGCCCGTCGTTGAGCCTTCTTGGGGCGAGCCTGGGCCGTCTTGGGGGGGCTATCGGGTTGTCTTGGGGGCCCTCTGGGCGCCATCTTCAGCTGTCTTGGTGCCCTCTTAGGTCTCTCTGCTGGGTCTGCGCTTAAGCATAGCCCGTTGACCGAAGGGGTCGCGGGCGCGCGAAAAGGTAGTGCTGAGGGAGGAAACCAAGGAGGTGAGAGGATGAGAGTGTTGGGAGATAGCGCCTCCCGTGTCTTCATCTGCCTCTTTGATTCTTTTTCGCGCGCCCGCGACCCAACGGACTAATCGATTGTGCTTCGGCGCAGACCAGTGAGGCTTTCCTGAGGCGATCTTAAGCCGAGAAGCCTCCGAAGCAAAGCGCACGGAATCGCACGTGTTTATTCATCGGTTTTGGGGCATGCGGGGGCCTTGCTGGAGGCCTCCGCGGGCGTCTCTGTGGACATGTCTTGGACACTTCCTGGCGGCTTCTTGAGGCCTTGGGGGCACTCGTGGGGCCATGGGGGGAGCGTCGAACTGGAGCGGGCCCGCGGACGACAGTTGCGACGGAATGCGACGCCAGGTGATCGTTTTGTTCACGTGGCTGCCTGCGGGTAGGGGGCCGGCCCTCGAACACTCACATAGCCCACGCTTGGCAACCGACAAGCAGTGTGACGCGTTCCAGCGTGCCGAAGGCACGGTGTCTCTTACATGCTTGCTACACTTGTACACAGGTTTACATAGTGATACTTTCGATCTGCTTCTCGGTTCTCTATGTATATAAATATGTTTATACATGTAACTATACGTTTATAAATGTATGGCGAGGGAGAGGCAGGGAAAGGAGAGAGAGAGAGAGTATACACAACACAAGCCACAAGCCATTACACTATATATACACATATGTTTACATTCAACAATGTATATTCACAGGTAGGGAGGGAGAGAACATGTGTGTGTGGGGGGGGAGGGGGCAGAGAGAGAGAGAGAGACACACAATGATAAAGAGACCGAGAAAGAGAGAGAGAGAGAGAGAGATGGATCTCTGCATATATTTGTATATAAGTATGAATACCTTGCGCACGCACAAAGAATCCGTTTGGTGCGCGTTGTATATGGTGATGCGTATGATTGTTACGATGTCCGCACTCACTTTCGAAGTTCCTTTTCTAAGCTGTGTTGGGGGCCCGATAGATAGCGATGTTCGCACCGTCTCCAAGACCACGCCCGCTACTCCACAGCCTCCTGACCAAGGAAACATCAGTCTAGTTAACTCCCTTCGTTTCCAGAGCCAATCCACAGCCTCCGTCTCGAACGCCACAGCCATTACTCCACAGCCTCCCAAAAAAATGTAACTTGAACAGTTTCCCTCTCCTCTTCCTCCTCCAACACCACACCCAACAGTCCACAGCTTCCGCCTCCAACACCACACCCATTACTTCACAGCCTCCGCCCCAAGAGCAGCTTAAACAGATCCTTATACTCAACTCCCCCAGCACCACAGCCTCCGTCTCCAACACCACACCCACTACTCCACAGCCTCCTCCGCATTTGTAGATTGTCAGCAGCAGCCTACTCAACTCCCTCCGTCTCTAACACCACACCCAATAGTCCACACGTTCCGCCTTTACCGTCACACCCATCTTCCCACAGCGTCACCCACACATTACTTGAACAGTTCCGCCTTCTCAACTTCCTCCTTCAACACCACACCCAATAGTCCACAGCCTCCGTCTCCAACACCGCACCCACTACTCCATAGGCTCCTCCCCAAGTGCACCTTGAGAAGATCCGTATACGCAACTCCATCCATCTCTGACGCCACACCCACAGTTCCACAGCCTTCGTCTCCAACATCACACCTACTAATCTACAGCCTCGCCCGCACGTGAAGTTCAAAAGTTCCCCCTACTCAATTCCCCCCGTCTCGAACACGACGCCCACTATTCCACAGCCTCCGCTTCCAACACCACACCACAGCCTCCTCCCCAAATGCAATTTGAAAAGACCCTTCTACTCAACTCCCTTTCACGCCCCGTGAAATACCCTTTCCTCATCCGGTCTTCCGCGATAAAGAGGTTCATGGTGCGTGCCATACATATACACACCGAACTGCATTTGCGCTGTGCGCCATGCACTTTGGTCCTTGTGTTCTGGTATGCAGGCAGGAGGGCCATAAGGTAAAGCGGAACATTTCGCGATAATTCGTTGTTACTTGTTCCGGCATCGTCGCTGTAATCATGTTAAGCCTTATACATAACCTCATACGTATCATTCCTCTTCCTCTCTTCGCCCTACCCTGCGAATTCGTCCCCATCTTCAGCTCCTTTTAGGCTCATCCTAGGAGAGCTTCTTGGGTGCCTCACGAAAGTTTTTCAGGGCTTGTTGGGGCCGGGGCCTTCTGGAGGCATCCTGGGTTCCTTCTGGGGACCTCTGGGGGCTTCCCCAGGCCACCCTGCTTCCAACCGCGGGTCTCCCTGAACGACCGGTTGGAATGATCCAGGGGGCATCGTGGGGCCATCTTGGGCCGTCATGGGGCTCTCTTCGGGCCATCCTGGGGCCCTGTTGGGCCGTCTTGGGGCTCCTCTTGGTCTTGGACGCCTTGAGGCCCTCTTGGTTTCATTTGGGGCGAGTCTCTGGCTTCCTGGGCGGTCTCGGACGCCCGGAAGACCGAGGAACAGAGCGCTTCCAAAATCATACGAATACGAGGACCATCGGAAATCAAATGTTTCTTGCGTTGATTCATCGTTTTGCCGATCGGCGCGGGCCCCAAAACCCCCCTCCCGCCCCCTCCCCGAAGGAGTAGATCTTGGCTGTTTTTTGGCGCCTGTTTCGAGCGGGTGGAATCTCCCCCAGAGGCAGCACTCTTGCAAACAGTCGCATTAAGCAGAGGTCTGGAGCCAGACCCCCCCCCTCTCCCCCGCTTTCCGCCCAATGTCGACATGCCGAGTAAAGAATCGCTGACATGCCTCTCGGGGGTCTTCTTTGGGTCGTCTTCGGGCGTCTGGTGGGTGCCTGGGGCCTCTTGTGGGCTCTCGCGGGGCCGCTCGGCCGCCCTCCTGACTGATTTCGGCCCGCTGCCCAGGCCCAGCTGGGGCTCCCAGGAGCCCCGGGAAAGCATAGGGGGACCGTCGGCAGGGGCATCCAGGGTGCCCCCCCGGGCCACGGATCCGGGGGGGTTCTGTTTAGGGGGGGGGGGGGGAGGGGGCGCATGGCCCGGCCCCAGGTTATGGAATAAAGATACGGAAGGAGGAAAATGTAGAGCGAGAGAGAGAGAGAGAGAGAGAGAA